GCCAACTCGTAACACTTTGCAAACCGGCTTCTCTTCAAACTGAAATGAATTGTCCCTACATTACAATTAAGGTGAGTGAGTGAGTTGGGTTTTGGAATATTCCAGCACTGTCACGACAGGGGACACAAGAAATGGGCTTCACACATTGTACCCATGTGGGGAATAGAACCCAGGTCTTCGGCGTGACGTGCGGACGCTTTAACTCCGGGCTAACCAACCGTTCCATGAACAAATGAAATACATATCGAGTACTCGCGTGGAATATTTTACAAAATGGTGATATGTTACAGATATGAGATACAGGCATAGTGTGCTAGAGCTGGCTCTCCGGCAGCGTATCTCTTACACTGATCTTCTTACGAGTCCACCAAATGGTTCGTTTACTCCAATAAAATATACTGTACTCTTTAAAGATATTTTCATATTGGGATTATCGTTTTACCGAACATAAAACATCGCTGAAGATGGTCACCGTGTGAATTTATGAGTTTTTGGCAAATCACATACTACTGAAAGTTTGCCATGGATCAACATTCTGTTGGTGATATTCTTACTAGGATGAGAACGGGAATTTTAAAATCAAAGTTTAATGAGGTACAGTGGTTGGGAGTTGATTTTAATCAACGTATTTCTCCCCATATGTAATAATGGAATACAACATGAATTTCAATATATGCTTTATGTGAATGTTAAATAATCTACGAAACTGTTATTTACCACAAATGTACAACGACAGTCCGCCTATCTATACATTTAATCAATTGATCTCTTCTACATCAACTGAATTATTGAACAATCGTTGTAGATATTGTCTGAGCTTTGAGCTAAGACTGGTTAATGGATAATATATACTCACGCCCAAAAGAAACTTAATATCTGACAAAATACTGAATGTGTGCAGAATGTCAGTCCCATGTCACTAAAACCGTTTGTAATATGAAGAAAAATCTACTGACAAGCAAATCACAAAATTTAATCAAGTTTTATTGAAATATGAATCATGCAATGATGTGTCAATTTGGATCATACCGATGAAGCGTTCACGCTATTATATGGAGGCATTTAATACCAAAACACATTTTTCATCAGAGCGAAAATAATAGTGGTCAAGTTTCTTTGGGGCGTGAGTATATATTTGTATTTCATCATGCCCCTTATATTAAATTATTATACGTGTTCTGGATGTACCTATGCTATATTCATCATTGTGATAAATATGTGTATCTTTGCATCTGGACCAGACGTCTTCAAAGAAATAAAAGGCGTTGACTTGACTAACTCATTCGCTTAAAATCATTTCCATTTTGCCTTGATGGTCCACGTATCCCAAGTATTTTCAGGAAAAGCATAACTTACCGTTAGATCACTCCTACCACCTCTCGTCAGATCCACGTCTTTACCATTTATCAATTCTCTATGCACTTCCCCACAAGTACCCGTGACAGTCAGCAACAAGTCAGCCTTGGACCCTTGTGTTCCCGTTTTTCCAGTGTACATTATTAACCTGTACTTTGATCCTGAATTGCAAAACATAATTTAGGTATATCAATGATCTGAGGATGGTTAAAGAATTATCAAATAGCGAGTTTCCGTCCACTAATCTATCAACTGGACCGACAGTGGGATTTTTAATTGAGTTACGGATGTCTATGAGCGAAACCGTCATATTTTAATGTAGCATAACAGTCCATTTGTATAGCGCTAATCCCATAGGGATGGTGAGTATTTGTTAGATTCCGAGCGTATGGAACGACTTCGGAGTAAGTCCGAAAGACAGAAAGGGGCTTGATTGTTTAAGCACTTGTAAGATAAGTAGAGAACTTTGAATGTGATCCTTTGTAAGACTAGAAGCCAGTGTAGCTCCATTATAATTGGTGTTTGGGGATCTCGTCTGTGACCTTCTAAGATGATTCTGGCGGCGGGTTCTGCTCTCGCTGGAACTAGTTTGCTGGGGACTGAGGAGCGCCAATGATTACAGCAATCCAGCTGGATCTTGTTTGTTGGGGACTGAGGAGCGCCAATGATTACAGCAGTCCAGCTGGATCTTGTGTGTTGGGGACTGAGGAGCGCCAATGATTACAGCAGTCCAGCTGGATCTTGTTTGTTGGGGACTGAGGAGCGCCAATGATTACAGCAGTCCAGCTGGATCTTGTGTGTTGGGGACTGAGGAGCGCCAATGATTACAGCAGTCCAGCTGGATCTTGTGTGTTGGGGACTGAGGAGCGCCAATGATTGCAGCAGTCCAGCTGGATCTTGTGTGTTGGGGACTGAGGAGCGCCAATGATTGCAGCAGTCCAGCTGGATCTTGTGTGTTGGGGACTGAGGAGCGTCAATGATTACAGCAGTCCAGCTGGATCTTGTTTGTTGGGGACTGAGGAGCGCCAATGATTACAGCAGTCCAGCTGGATCTTGTTTGTTGGGGACTGAGGAGCGCCAATGATTACAGCAGTCCAGCTGGACCTTGTGTGTTGGGGACTGAGGAGCGCCAATGATTACAGCAGTCCAGCTGGATCTTGTTTGTTGGGGACTGACGAGGCCAGTGATTACAGCAATCCAGCCTCAGATGACTTGGGAGAGAACTAGAATTTTGGTGGAATCTACTGTCAGATATTTTCTGATGCTCCCAATGTTCCTGAGAAAACATGAAACTTTCCCAAGGTGATTGATGTGCCTATCAAGACGAAGGTCTTGACCCCTTGATGATGATGACCCAAAGATGTACGTTTGTGTATACTGGACAACAATATATTACACATTCATGTTTATCTTACCTTCATGTAAAATACTTTATTTTCATTGGTCAATGCAGCCCTCCCAGGAGGGCGATAACTGCTACAGTTACCGCCAAGAATCTGTATAGCTAACAATGGTATGACGTCATAATATGACGCATGCAGTGCACAGAGTTGGAAAAGCCTTCGATTAACTGTTTTTGAGTTCACTATGTACACATTTATTTTACCGACTTTCACTGCTTTGCTTAAACTATTTTATGCTTTGGATCGTTTGCACACTCAACTTATAACATAATTGACCATTTTAAAAGCAGTTTTAAGTTTGTGAGAATATGTTTTCCTGATTTCCAAAAATGCAGTCGAGTGGCAGAGACCATTTTGTTTATATGTCCTAAAGTTGGTAGCGAGCTTATTGATCTTCCAAATATAATAAAATGAGATTGTATACATTTAACATGGGGGTAAGATAAAAACGGTGTAAAATTCTCTCTCGGGTAATACGGCCCGGGCGACACTGCTACAAAGGGGCGTACCTTAGACCGTATTACCCTTGAGAGAAGCATACGACTTATAATATACCACGGCCAGGTTAAACATGATACTTACTTTCGCATTCATCCTTGCACAGGCATTTGCCTCTCAACCTAGCTGCGTTGTTGTCTGGAGCAATGTTCACAGCTTCAAGAGAATTGAGTGTAAACAGATTTTAGAGCAGACACCTCATTTGGCCGCAGAATACTTCATCAGAATATGTCCCCGCTAGCCTACACTTGTCATCAGATGCCACTAAACATATAGAGCCGATAGACGTAGTAATTCGTTAATTTGACTTTGGAAACTTGAGCAGCACACGACAATGTTTATCTGATCAAATATATTTGTGCATCTACTAAGTTCTCGTCGTCAAGCGACGTTTTAACGTCTTTTTAACGTCTTCCAGTTGTTGCAACCATCCTTCTATGAAGGTAATAAGGCATCTTTTCTGTCACACTGCACCCAAACACCGATTTTCTGTTCTAGAACTTTTGCACGATTGCAGTTATTTGCTACATAATCCGTCTAAATAGCGCTGAGTTCCAGCTAAACATTGGATGTCAATCTCAGTGGCACATATTGTATTATCAATCTGAACTCCCTCGGGAACATACAACTCTTTCAGCTACTAGGCACACCAAGTTAATGTGGCGTTCCCATCCTAACGAGGCACCCATTCACAGCTGGGTGGACTGGGACACACAGTCACAGTACTTTGTCCAAGTTTACTGCACGTTGCTGTACCCGCAACTAGGTGTGTGCATGTATTCACGTGGCCACCATCTGGTCATTTACCAACGGATTCGTGGGTTCTTTGAAGTGCACAGGGTTGTGTACTGTACACTAGGGGTTGTGACGACACTGATAGAGTCTGCAGACAAAGCTGACTCCAAGGTGTTTACACCCGGTCACAGGTGGGCTCGATCGCGGCACCTCAAGTTCGCGGATGAGGATAACTCATAAACCCTTCTGGTTTCACACGTAAAACAATAGTGTTGGTGTCTGTAATATTCAGGATTTTGAAACATGATTTTTACATCCACATACCCATTTATATTTATATCAAAATTATGTTTGGCTGTCTGACTATTAGATGTGCACTTTCTTTGGTCAAAGGAAAACACACGTGCAGTACGCATACCCGTACATTAAGCAAATATAAAGATTAAGTAAATTGTTTTTGCAACTCGATAACATGAAATCAATTGATTTCGTTGTTGATATGCAAATATGGGGCCTCATAAACTGACAATTGCTCAAAGACGGCAAGTTTTTGGTATGCGGAATGCTGGCATGTCATTGAGGGGTATTGCAAGAGAAGTTGTCATCCTTCGACTCTCAGCCGATTGGCCAAAAAGCATCAGTAAACTAATCACGTTATGGACCACAAGCGTTCTCTCTAGCTCGAATTATCAAGACAACTCTAAAGGAGGATGCAGCACTTTTCAGAATCACAACGCCTCATCCGTTCATGTCAAATAGCTCGCTTAAACCAGAGTGGCTTTCATATCGTCATATGTTTAACCGAACGGTACGACATCCCCTGAATCTGGATCAGACAAAACTGAATGCACAACGCTACATCAGTGACACCCTAAACAGGGTTGTTGTACCACATTTCACTGGTTATCCTCTGAACACAAGCCAGTCCCACATGGATGATAATGCTAGGCTCTACGACGAGAGTTCGGTAGGTGTCCAGATCGCAGTCCCATAGAACATGTCAAGGGTATGACAGGTCGCAGTCCCATAGAACATGTCAAGGGTATGACAGGTCGCAGTCCCATAGACCATGTCAAGGGTATGACAGGTCGAAGTCCCATAGAACATGTCAAGGGTATGACAGGTCGCAGTCCCATAGAACATGTCAAGGGTATGACAGGTCGCAGTCCCATAGAACATGTCAAGGGTATGACAGGTCGAAGTCCCATAGAACATGTCAAGGGTGTGACAGTTTGCAGTCCCATAGAACATGTCAAGGGTATGACAGGTCGCAGTCCCATAGAACATGTCAAGGGTATGACAGGTCGCAGTCCCATAGAACATGTCAAGGGTGTGACAGGTCGCAATCCCATAGAACATGTCAAGGGTATGACAGGTCGCAGTCCCATAGAACATGTCAAGGGTATGACAGGTCGCAGTCCCATAGAACATGTCAAGGGTGTGACAGGTCGCAGTCCCATAGAACATGTCAAGGGTATGACAGGTCGCAGTCCCATAGATCATGACAAGGGTATGACGGGTCGAAGTCCCATAGAACATGTCAAGGGTATGATCCCATAGAACATGTCAAGGGTATGACAGGTCGCAGATTACGCCTGGGGGAACCCCCAGTACAAAAACCTCCATCAAGAATGGAACGCAATATTTCAACACCAGATTCAAAGTCTGACTGAGCCATTGACGAGCAGGGTGAAGGATGTAATTGCAGTTGGCGGAGGTTAGTGCTGATACTGGCACTGTGCCCGGTTATTGAAATGTTTTGTTAAGGATTGTATGCCAGAATCTTGAAAATGACCACATTCGTTAGCGTCATACGACCATAGGTATCAGCACTACAAAATGAGTAAAAAGTTTTGCATGTTTGCTTCTGGAAATAATCTTCAATTTTGCGTTGCTTCTGCATTTTTGCCATTAAATTATTCCTTGAGGATCAGTTTAGCCGGATGGCTATGTCGAGATTTGGATAAGTTCCTTTGCTGTGGTTAATGGCAATATTATGATACTGCAAAATATATGAAACATACCGACAAACTATATTTCTCTCCAACTTCTACATAATGCCACTCAAAGAAAATATGTGAGATGTTGCAATACTTTTATCCATGTGTTTATATACCTCAGCCTTATAAGACTTACGTTGACATTTACCCTTGCTCCTGGCTTTGTATTTCTGGAGACCGGTGTTCCTGCCCTTGCTCGTCCCTGTGTTCCTGCCCGCTCGTCCTGTGTTCCTGTCCGCTCGTGTTCTGTGTTCCTGCTTTGCCCCGCTCTTCCTTCTTCCTCTGCATCTTCAAGAGAATTTAGTGTGTATGGAAAGTCAACAGACAAGACAGCTGCATGTGGGATTCTGGATCAGAATATTGGACTAGAGGCCACTAAACAGACAGGTCGTCAGATTTAACACCTTGTCTGAGAGCGAGTAACTGTACCTAGTGCACATATCACTTGGTTTTCGTGCCTGTAGTCGACTATTGTCACTGAAAATAGTTTGTACCGTAGTATTACAAGACTGACCCCGTAGTCGATGTTCGAGACATCTTGACATTAGTAGATGGGTTTCGTACACAGGGTCACGGATGTTATTGCAGCAGTGGCGGAGGTGGCACAAAATATTGAAATTGCGTTCAAGGTGCGGGCTCCAGGAATACATTTCCATTACCAGCACATGTCGTAATCCCTCCTACTAGTGAGTGAGTGAGTTGAATTTTACGCCGCACTCAGCAACATTCCAGCTCTATGGCGGCGGTCTGTAAATTATCGTGTCTGGACCAGACAATCCAGTGATCAACATCAAGGAAATTGTACTACGCAATTGGGATACGATGACATGTGTCAACTAAGTGAGCGAGCTTGGCCACTGATTCCGTTATTTGCCTCTTGCAACAAGCATGGGTTGTTGAAGATCAATTCTTACACGGATCTCTAAATATAGAGAACTTAAACCACCTGCCAAGACATCATCGATCTAAAACACGATTCTTACGTTTGCATCTCTTCTTGCAGATGTGTTTTGTACATCAGGCTATACGTTCTTGTGGCCACTGTTTCATCGTCCGCTCCATTGTCACAACCTTCAACGGATATTTGATAGTTGCACATAGAATACTGCTGGATAAATATATTGTCATCGATTGCACACATCTGCAAGAAACTAAGTAGATAGTGAAAGTGAAAATTAGGGATACGGATGGTGAAATTTTGTAGCAGCTTTGAGCTGATTACGTGTAATATAAACAGGATAGGACTGACAATATCAACGTTTTTTATCAGGGCTGTAATTTTCAGGTGTTCAAGACATATCCGGGATGAGGTGGACAGTGACATAAAATAATAAATTTCAGTGGTGTGATCTGTAGAAAAACACAATTGTTACTAATTTTTATTTATTTATTATGGGATATTTATATAGTGCACATATACACGCACTATGAGTGCATGCTCAAGGCGCTGGTATGTTTTTTTCCTCAATCATTGGATTTCAGTCTCAAAGGCACATCTTATTATCAATCTCAGCTAGCTCCCTGGTGATCATACAGCTCT